TCCTGTTATTTTTTTTCTCTCTCTCCACATATACTTACTATTTTATTTATTTATTTATTCTGCAAGTACTAAGGTGATATATTGCATTAATTTGTACAGTATTCTCTTACAAAGATATTTTATGCTGTATTGTAAGGAATAAGTCCGTAAGGATTTGTTAAGTTTCTATGTTCCCGAAGAACTGCATAAATACAAAACATTTCTGAAACCTATGAAACGCTTCTTTATTGTACTTCCGTTGTATCCCATATAAATATAGATCTAAAATTTAATACCTTCAATGATATTATATTTTAATAAATGTCAATCTCATACACACACACACACACACGAGTAAAACGTTCATGTTTTGTTTAAAATACATAATCGATAATGCTGCACGATCTTTTTTTTCCTTTTCATTTAGGCAAATTCAATGATTTATAATAGCCACACTTAGTTTGGAAAACAAGATTTTATTTTACAAGCATTATAAAGGAAATTTTACACCAAACTTAATGAAGAATCTAATACTAAAACATTGCAATTTTTGTAATAAAATATTCAAATTTATTTCCGGAGACCAACTAAATTTTGAGTAAAATAAAGAACAAAACACAAGCAGCTTCTCTAAAATTAATAATATTTAAGCTTTGTTTATGATGCGCGTGACATATTGGTTGCAAATAATACAGTAGCCTTATTCTTCTTCTTCTTTTTGCCTCTTACATTATCGTTCAACTTTGCTTCTGTAACATATATTAGATGTATAATACATGTAGAGAAATTATACACGAGTCCAAAAGTATATACACACACACACGCACACACACATATATATACACACGCAACACTTATTTCCAACAATATTGTCATACCAGCATTTAACAATTTTGTCCGCTCCAAAGCCTGTGCTAAGGCGTCGCCAAAACTTTGACTATAGGATGGAGCATGAGCACAATCGTCTTCATCGATATCTGATTTAACAGATTTTGGTTTTTCAGGAAGTTTAGTTTTGACCGTTGGCCACGATTTGCCAGGTTTGAAGCGTGCACCAGTATTACGTAACATTTCAGCAAACGACGGCCCTTGTTCATTCGGGTTATTTATTTTTCTCGTAGTTGATACAACTTCGTCAAATGTACTTAAAGACGGACTGCTGGCTACACTGGAGGTAGCCAATGATTCTGATGGCGAAGGAATCGCATCTCTATACATAAATATGTTCAGTTTTAAATCTAAATTTTTTTTTGCGTATGATTTATACATGTAAACAATTAAAAACATACTCTGTAAAAAGTTCTGGTTGCCACTGAGGAAAGTGACGCGTTGAATCGATGTTCACATTTGGCACTGGATATTTGCCCATTTGTTTATTTTCTTGTTCTATTATCTTTTTTTCTCGTTTCCTTTCTTCGCGTTCCCTGCGTTGCCTTCTCTTCTGTCGGGTTTCCAATTGTTCTGGCGATAAAAGAATTTAATATAATAAATCCGAAGTAATAATATAATCAATTTTAATGACGAAAGGATAGATACATAGATTTATTACCATGAAAAGAATTAAGAACATCTTCCGATACAATAGGTGGCTTAAGTTCTATCTCAGCAACCTCAAATTGACAGGTTAAAGGTAAATGACAAAGATATCTTAATCGCCGTCTTAAATCTTCCGTAAAACTGCCTACTTCCTTTTCTAATAATTTTCCCGTAATAATCGGAGGACAATGCTCAAGACTACCATATTGCATTTCTAACATTTTCACATTCATTGCATGGAGATACACATTTTGTCCGTCTTCAGCTAAAAAGAAACGTAAACGTAAATTTTGCGATATATCTCATTATAATCAATCTTATATACACGAAAAATTGCAATTTTATAATTACCTTGATAGAAATAAAAGAATTTCTGCGAAGGCGAAGGTAACTGCGTTTCATTCGAAAATATGTTACTTGTTTCAGTTCCCTCATCACACGTAGATTGATCTTCTTTGGATAAATTACTTACTTCGTCGTTACTTTGCTGTATTAGTTGACTTTCTTGTTTCTCTTGTTCAACTTTATCTCCTATTGATGTAGATGAAATATTTCCTATTACTTCTTGATGTGACCCGTCGTCATTTACTTTCTACATTCAATTACATATTCGTTTAATTTTGTCTTATAATGAAAATGAAAGACAAAACCATAAAAAATACCTTTTGCAGAAGTTCTTCTTCCCTCTTTGCAAGTTCACAGATTGCTTGTTCGATATAGCAATTTTCAGGGGAATGTGGATCATTCATTAATTCAATTCTTAATTGCGCACGTTCAGACTCTATGATATCCATGATCTATATAATTAAAAAGGTCTATGATAACATTTTTAACAAAATTTAATTACAAATATATCTGTTATGTTCTATAATCTATTTCAAACTTACGTCTTTTGGATTTGCTATTAGAAGTTTAGAGAAAAGTTGTTTATTGCAATCTTTAGAAACCTGGAAAAATGTTGTTGGAGAGGCTGTAATAGGTTCACTTGCAGGAATTGCAATTAATGAACCCCTTTCACGTCGCATTAAACGTAATGTTATTGGATCTCCCAAATTGACAGCATTCTGTGTAACCTCAATAACACTAAAAAAAATGAAAACAATACATTATCTTTAGCCGATAATTTACATATAAATGATATATAATGATTAAAATTTACCTTTTCAAATCAGATTTATGTACAGATTCATAGCAAATAGGACACTTGCGCCACGATTTATCAGATAAAGACAAATAATGTAGAATACATGACCAACAATAAACATGACCGCAGCGAGTCATTTTTGCAGCTACTGGTGAGAACAAACAAATTGGGCACGATAAGCTTTCTGTATTATGAATTTTCTGAAATTAAAATTTAATATATAAAATATCTCGTTAATTTGCATGTATAAGAAGAAAATAAATAAGTGCGTTTAGAGGCTTACTACTTGTTCTATATATTTCCAATCAACGAGCGCATCAGGATCAATTAGGTATAAAGAATAATCTTCATTGGCAGTCACAACAAATTGGCAGCTAAAAAAATATAAAAATAAGTAAAAACTATTTATAATATGCGTATATATGTATATATATATAAATATATAAATTGTAATTATAGATCTTCACCTGGCTTGCAAGAATTGTTCCTTGTTATACTTATGCCGTTGTACTGGCGGAAGCCATCTGTTACTATTACGATTGTAGGCTTTACTCGTATTTCCCATTCTCCATGTATCCGAACCACTTTGCATGTCACGTGGTTCATAATGGAAATTTAGCAGATGATTCAAATTCTGCTTTTTACTTCCTTGTGCCATCACTGAGCCGAACTCAGCTGTTTCAATTTCTACTACCTATGTAAAACATGAAGATTACTTTTTAATAGAATTATTTATATATATATATAATATATATTTACCTTGGTATCCTCCTTTGAACCGCCATGATATTGTCCTTTAGGTTTTGGTCTCTTATCAAAAATTTTTGCTTTCTGTGTATTGTACTTTTTTGTCTGATCATATTTAGACAAGCTATTAGCGCCAGTTGGTTCACGTTTACGTGATGTTTTCGGAAATAATTTGTTGTTGGCAACATCTATAATAAATAAAATGTTCGCGATAAAGGACGTTTAAGCACTACAAATATATCGATAGTAAATCCATAAAATTTGCTTTCGTAGGTATTACGCCATATATGTTAATAATCGCATACGAAACAGTAGGTCCAAAATATAATCATAATGGTTAGATATTATTAAATGAATTTCAATATTTTAGAATATTAATATTGAAAAAGTATCGTTTTAAAGAGCAGGGGTGGAGGGAGAGGAGAGTAGAGGGGAAGAGAAAATAAAATAAAACAAAATAAAATACAATAAAATGAAATAAAATGAAGTGAAGTGAAGTGAAGTGAAGTGAAGTGAAGTGAAGTGAAATGAAGTGAAAGGAAATAAAAAACAAAATCATAAATCTAAAATAACGAACTAATGTCGATTAACTACTAGCGACACGAAGTGGTGACGTACCTTGACTTTTCTTGGAATCACCAGCAGTCCCCTTTGAAGAGGACTGTGGGTATTTGGTCTTTTTGTCCATTGGCAGTTCGGCTATAATTGGCCTCGTTTTTCGCGTTGGCAGAGATGTGGTCTCCTCCGTATGGAGAAATAATATTTTTCTGCAAGCCCTTCATCTTCTTCAATAAGCCATGTTTCGTCAGTTCCAAAGTTGTAAAAGAAACCCTCGATAAGCCGATGGTCGACCGTCGATGAGTCGGTTTAACGACGTTTAAACGAAGCACAGAAAAAAGCGAAAGCTCTCGCTTTTTAGGAAGCGATTGGCCTCCCTTTCGTCGTAAACGACGATATAATATTTCTGCGGACCACCGCGGTCGCGATTTCGTCGCTATGATGGCGACGAAATTAATGATCTTTGCGCAACCGGAAGTTTAGTTTGCAACGTCATTCGTTACTCGATATCATTACTTTAAATAGTAACTAGCATACTTTAAAGATACATTATAAACGTGTACCAAAAAAATCTTTAACTTTTCAAATTTTCTAGCAGATAGCGCTTTAATCATCTTAGATTTTATTGTTTCTTCTTATAATCGTTCATTTAAACTAACGTAGTACATCGATACTTCCGTTATTTGAATGATCAAATGCTAGTTATCGAAGCAGAGACCTCTTGAATTTTATAACGATTAAGATTCGAACGATAAGGATAAAGTTACAGATATTCTTTGATAATGATACTTACGATGATTATTATAGCAGAGGATAAAGTACAATGATACGATAGATCCTTTATAAAATTTTTCATATAATAAAATGTTAATAAAGATTAAATTAATGTCGAGAGAAAGGCGCAATTCGGCGCATGCGCAAAGACTGTGTTTTAGAAGACACGTTATGCTGCAAATAATATATATGTATACATATATACGTTCATTGTTACTGTTATTTTACCACCTGCAGAAACATCTTGCAAAAGGTTTATACATAGGAAAAAAAATTTGATATTCATAATACACGAAAAGAATATTTTTTTTTATATTTATGAAATCGAACTTTTTTAATTACTTTTTCAAAATGCCATTTTATTATGCTGTTGCTAAAGGTCGAAAGCCAGGAATTTACCTTAATTGGTAATAAAAATGTGAACATGTAAAAGCGTATGAATATGTATATGCTTTAAATATTTATTATAATCTTTTTAAGGCAAAAATGTTATGAACAAGTTAATAAATTTAATGGATCTATATATAAGAAGTTCTCATCGCAGTTAGAAGCAGAAAATTTTATAAAACAACGTGGTGATTCTTCGAATATGTTATCATCAAGCAAGTTGATTGAAGAAAATAAGTAAATATTTGCAATAATATTAAATTCTTTAGTTAGACTTTCTGTAATATATAGCATTCTATATTGGGTTTTATTCAACTAATTTTCTTAAGATTAATAAGAAAATTTTTTATTCTGTGCTATTATGATTTTTATGCTTATATATGCATATATATATAGATTATATATAGATTAATAAACATTGCTTTGAAAAAGTAACTAGATATGGGTTATACTAGATACAATTAATATATACACTATATATTAATACATAATAATATTATACACATATATATACACTAGATACAATGATAATATGTTTTATCAATGTTAAGGTGTGGATATATATTAAATCAGGAAAAGAAAAATATACAGAAACGTACGTTGTCACCAGGATCAAGAAAATTGGTTTCAAAGTCTAAAATAAGGAAACTTGAATCTGTTGAAATTTTAAAGGTAAATCTTAATTAATTTTGACCAATATACTATAATACGAATACAAAATATAGCAAAAAAAAAAAGCTTACATGTAACTATTTGTTATACAGAATTCTCATTGTACATCTCAAGACACAAATCATACTGTGGGAAAAGAATATGTTGATGTATATACAGATGGAGCATGCTCATCAAATGGTAGAAGAGGTGCACGAGCTGGAATCGGTGTTTGGTTTGGAGACAATCATCCTTTGTTGGTTTTTTTAATCGCTGTATTGTGATCTTACATATTTTTATATTATCGGTCATAGAAAATTTGTAATTTTATATTTACAGAAATGTATCCAAACCTGTAGTTGGTAGGGCAACTAATAATATGGCAGAGATTCAAGCAGTGACAGTGGCAGCTAGACAAGCCGAAAAAGCAGGCATAATGAAATTAAAAATTAATACAGATTCCAAATTCCTTATTAATTGTATCACAAATTGGATGCCCAAATGGAAAAGAAATGGGTGGAAAACTTCAACTAATAAACCAGTTATCAATAAAACTGAACTTTTGGAAATGGAAGCAGCACTTAAATCTTTAGATGTTAAATGGGTAAAGTTTATTTACAGTATGATATAATTTCATATCAATTAATTGTCATATAATAAATTTAATTAATAATATTTATAATATAACAGAATCATGTGAATGGACACGTCGGAATCTATGGTAATGAAATGGCAGATAAATTAGCAAGACAAGGTATTGCATGTGACAAGTAATCTTTGAAAAAATAAGGCCAATTATTTATTTTGACATGTATGTATAGATAAAACATTTTGTAAAATTTTGCATATTTTATTTAGTATAATCTATATCCTTTAATGTTAATATTTATAACAATTTTTTAAAAATTATTATTATAAAATATTTCTGTAATACGATAAGTATAAGAAAGTACTTTGAAATAGTTTATATAAGCCGTTTATTTTGAAAGTGGTCAACTCCATTTATCTTTAAATCGAGATATTTAAGGGTTTGCGTTTCAATGAATTTAAAAATATACGTATAGGATACTAATGAGTCATACTACTTAAGTGTATCTAAGGGTGTTAAATTTATAATTCCTATTAAAATAGTGGTAATTATTAAGTGAATAATATGCGTTTTCTTATCAAGAATGGAATTAGGCCACTTTCAAAATTAACAATCAAATTCATTATAAAATTTGAAGGTGCCCAAGTCCATTCAACATAATTTAAGTTTATTCAAATTGAAAAAAACAATACTCAATTTATTTTACATATCTTTAAAACACTTCGAAAACATAATTTATGCAATTCAAAACATTTTTTAACTACATAACATACAAAATTACAAACATAAATTTATTACAAAACAATTTACTACTCATATAGATTTTGTGTATGTGAAAGAGATTTAAAGAAATCATGATGTTTTGGTGGTATATATCGTAATAGATCAATTATGTCCTTGTTGTAATTTGTCTAATATTTTTATACAGTGATGTCAATACAATATTTTTGAACTTTCTTGGTCTACCCCGACGTGATAATAAATTCAGGACTTTAAAATTTTCATTTTCATTCATTGATTTAAGTATAAATGGAGTTAGGCCACTTTCAATATAAACGGCTCATATTATAACGTGAACTTCAAATAAAAGGTACATGTTTATATAAATAATATTTTTTAATTGTATAATATGTTTATTTAAATGACTGTTTCTTCATACTAGAGCTATTTAAAGTATTTTAAACTTTTTATAGAATTACATCATTACCATTTCTGTTGAGATTGTACTTTGAACCACATTGAATGATATTATATAAACTTTCATTATAGAAATTCTTTCTTAGTAATTTTTTTATTTGATAAGTAATTATATAATGTTATTAAATGTACAAAAAGATTGAAAATTTTAATAGATAATAAATTATAATTATAATAATAAATAATAAATAAAATTTAATAGATAATAAAATTTTCAATTTTATTATCTATTCATCATAGAGAGCAGACTGTTTCTTGATTTGTTACTTATATAATATGAAAAAATAAGTATATAGTAAACTAAAATTAATTTTTGATAAATATACTTTGTTATAAATATATAAATAAATAACACGTAGATATAATTATTTTTTTCTAATAAAATATTTCAGAAATATATTCATATTTTTGCATAGAATTTATCTAAATGATATTTATCATATTTAGGATTATTTAAAATAATATATTTCCAATGTAAAATTTCCCATAATAATACTATTAAGCTAAAGAAATAACCAATGGTAAGAGCGACAAGAGCACCATAAAGCTTGTGGAGATTCACCAATGCTTTCTCTGATACTTTCTCTTGTTGTCTTTCAGTAAGTCGCAATGGATAAATAACATCGCTTAACCATTTATTTACTAGTCCAACTTCTATCGTACGTCTAATCTAGTGAAACAAGACATATAGGTTATATATTATATAATCTATATTGAATAGGTATTAAATAATATAAGATAATTGTTAAACTTTTCATTACCCATAAATCGACACATGGCTTTAATGGAGAATTTTTGTCCATTCCAAGAGCAATTGGCATATTTATAATACAATCTTTCATAATATGTAAATTATGTTTTACATCAGATGTTTTGTTATTTTGTGTATTATTTTCTTGTTGCTCTTTCTCCAGTACATATTTTGTAATATGAGCGAACCTCAAGGAAAATTCATTTTCATAGTAACCAAAAGATCCATTTGCTACTTTTTCTATAGATTCTTTTTCATTTTTTATCAATTGAAATTTATTACCAATTTCCTGACTATCAGAGTCTAAAGATTGTAGGAAAAATTCTTTACTTTCTTCGCTCCATCCACCAACAGAAATAGAACTTTTAGCTAATTGATTCAGCGTATCAATAGTGATTCTACATTTGAAACATATTGAAAATACATCAAATTCAATTAAATTGTTATTACTGATAATGATCGTTAATAGATTTTAATTCTTACGTAGCCACAGGATTAGCAAGGCTGGCTGTCATACTGGCACGATAAATTACAACGACTAAAATACTGTAAATCCACCACCATCCAATGAGTACTCTTAAAGCCCAAGGATTTGGCAGACGAGGTAATGATACCAGAAGTAGCATACTATATGTATATAGCATACTATTCTGTGCTTCTGTAAACAAATATAAGCCTTTCTTTGCTTGTTTAATTCTTAATTCTTTTATTTTGTCGGACTCATTAATGTTGATTAATTTTCGTTTAACATCCTTGTAAATAATTATGTGTTTCTGATAAGATAATGAAAAAAGATGGAAAATTCCTCCTGCTAATAAAAGAGTGAAAAGAACTGCGATCCAAGTGTAGAGCCTAAATGTCGATGAAATGATTTATATTTATCTTTTTATTGATAAATTTCGTATATTTGTTAAATTATTTTCTTATTAATGATCGTACTTGAAAGGAAGAATTAAAAGTTTCCATGAATTATCTGTCAAAGATTCTGGTGTTAAGAAAGTAAGACATTCTGTATTATAAGGGATAGATAGTTCAAAGAATTTTAAAAGATAGGAGGTATAATAGAGATCTCCAATATAGAATGTAGCTTTCCTTGCTAATGCTTCTCCTATAAGACCAGTATATGTTTCATTTTTTTCTAATGCTCCCCACCGGTCATTCTCTATATTGTAAGGCATATAGTAATGTGCCTTAAAGTTCATAAATTGAGAAATAACACGAATTAACTGCAAAGATAAGAAAATATATAAAAAAAAATCTATATAAAAAATACATAATATTGTTGACACACTTCTTATACAAACTTCAAATTCAACACCTAAACCTTTTGCGCTATAACTTGGACCACCTTTATAAAAATTTTGTGATTCTTTTGTTACACCTGGTATGTGTTCAAAAACTGAAACTCTTTAAGAATAAATAAGTGCAACAAATGCAAAATCAATTTATGAGAAAAATTTAAATAATTCATCATCTATATTTTTAATAATTAAAGTTTCAAACCTTAATGTTTTTCCTTTAAGATCTGAGATCTTTTGTACAAAGTGATTTTTGCCATAACGAAATTTCCCATCGTACCATGTATCTAAATACTTTGTTACTACAAACTTTTGTTTTTGATTTGGAAAGTATACAGTCTCTAAATTAATTATTGGTCGAGCAGATGTATCACCTGAACGATACTTATACGGTTTATATCGACGTACAAATACAACATTGATTATTCTGTTCCAAATATAATTCAAATCAGACGTAAGAATTCGATAATCATGTAATAATAAAAAGAAGCCATGAGTATTGATTAATTCTTTTCTGTAAAAAATGTGTATTCTCATTATATCTTACAAAATTATTTATACATCATTTTTATATGGTGTACATGAGTGATAATAAAAAAAATCTTTATCTTATCACCTTTCTACGTATTGTAAAAATTCAGAAACTAAAAAGCCATTAGCAACAAGTATAATATATCCATTGCATCTAGCTGTTTTACTGTGAGCAAGAATTTTTTGGATACGCTGTCTTGCTGGAGAAAATTCTTCATTATCGTGCAATAAGATCTACATAAAAAAAAAATGTTATGAATTTTTTAATTTCATATTGTAAATATTATAAATGAAAGTAGATAAAAGATGTAAGAGTAAAAAAAGATAGTAAAAAATATAAATATTGATATAATTTGATAATTTCATATTGCATGCTAAGCGTGAATTTGAAAAAAAAAAAGAAAAGAAAAAGAAAAAAAGACAGAAACATTTTATGTACTTACGTTATATTTAAAAATGTCGAAAATTTTCTTATTGTTATTTATTAATCCATGATAAGTACGGTCCGTTACAAAAACGGTACATGTACTACGATTCGTAATTTCTTCTATCAATCGATCGATCACAGGTTTTAAATTGCGCGCACTTTTTTTGCATTGATCAATTTGTAGATCTCTAATAATCGTTTAAAATAATATATTTTTTGTTATATATAATTTCATTTAAAAAAAATTATATACTTATAATAATATTTATATCACCTTTTTTTATATCCGAAAGTAAAATAAGTAAAAAAAAAAATAATGAGTATAAATCGGAATATCATCGCGCGCGTTATTTATTTTTCTGCTCATTCTATCATCTTTGCTCTTCTTTAGTATTTTACTCTTTCCATCAACTTTACCCTATTCAAATTATATCGATTCTTTAAATCAATGAATAATTAAATATCCAATTTGTCTTGTAATAGAAAATGTATTGGATTACATAAATATTAAAAAAGTGCAAAAGAAATTTAATGAAATTTAAATCATTATATATATATATTATAAATATATTCAATATTTATTGCATTTTTTTCTAAATAATTCTTAATTGAATTTAATTTATATTTATTCTATATAAATTATTCAACGTTGTTTAATCGATGACATTCGAAGTATCTATAATCAAAATTATCTTATCTTATAAATTGAAATAATGATATTCAAATTATATGCAATGACTCGTCATTATATTTCTTTAAGTTCATATAATTAAGGTTAATCTAATCTTTTTATATTCACATTTCATCGAATAATCGAACGATAACATATAGGTAAAAAATTTTGTATTAAGTGACGATTATACATCTATAAGTTATATTTAAGTTATCTTGTATATATAAATTAGTAAAAATTATTGTAAAGATAAATATAATTATTAGTGAATCTATTTGTATAAAGTTTATAATAACATTTAAATTATTAGATTTACAATATGATATAAAACATAAATAAAATTTTTAATTTGAATTGTTTGTTACAGATTAAAAATATTTATAATATACAATGCAAGTATCAAAGTTAAAGAATTTGATAAATGATTTACCCAAAGGCCCTTTGGATAAGTATAGAATACGTGCTAGGTTTGATTGGAAATTATTGAAGCTAAATTTAGAAGGAGAAGAAGGTATCAAATTTCAGGTAAATATAACAACAGAATATTTAATCTTATTGGGAAAAGTTAATTGAAAAAAATAATATATTTGTAGAACAAAATATGGTCATTTATTAAGGACAATCCACTATTTAAAGTAAATTATACTTCATCATCATTGGACGAAAGTCGTAGAATTTGTACAGCTCGAATTCGTGCTCTTCTAGAGAATCAAATTCATGTAAGTATATTTATTTATAAAAATTAAACAAATATTTCTTCATTAATAATGTATTTAATATATTATGATGTATTACATTGAAATATCAACATTATAGCCAATTGAATATAAAGGTTGGATAAATATACTTTTTCAATATGATTCGTCGATCCCAATCAAAATAAGTATCATGCATGGAATGGTTCCAAGTACTATTTTCTCTTTAGGTACAGAACGTCATATGGATATTCTGTACAAATTCTTAAATCAGGAAGTATGTATAAAAATAAAAAAAATATTATAGTTGCGTAAGAAATTTTAATAAGTATTAATTCAGTATTTAGGTGTCTTTGCTTTAACCGAAATATCTCATGGAACAAATGTTAAAGGTATGAGAACTACTGCAACATATGATGTGAATAGACAAACCTTCTGTTTACATTCACCAGATTTTGAAGCTGCAAAATGCTGGGTTGGTGGTTTAGGTATATATAGATATATTTAAATATTATGGTGTATTGTAATTAATTAAAATGTTAAACTTTTAATAATTATAGGAAAGACTGCTACACATGCCATTCTTTTTGCACAATTGATTACGCCAGATGGAATAAATCATGGTCTTCATTCTTTTATTGTACCTATACGAGATCTTGATACCCATTTACCGTTGCCCGGTGTAACTGTTGGAGATTTAGGCGAAAAAATTTCACTTAATGGGGTGGACAATGGTTTTGTAATATTTAATAATTATCATATTCCACGTATATACTTATTAAATCGAACAGCCGATGTTACTGAAGATGGACAATACGTAACATCCTTTAAAGATAAAAATAAAAGATTTGGTATTTACATATATTTCTATAATTGTATGATTTGTTTCTATATAGAAAATTTATTACCATTTACATTATTTCTAGGTGCATCATTTGGCGCATTATCAATAGGACGTTTTAATATTACATGGATATGTTCGACTTATCTTAATCTTGCACTGGTCATAGCATTACGATATTGCGCGGTTAGAAAACAATTTGGTCCATCGGAAAATGAAGAGTGGCCTGTAATAGAGTATCAAACACAGGTATATTATTTATATAAATATAAATATGTATAATTATTACGATTAAGATAAAGTAATGGAAATCATTATATGTTAATTATTAATTTTATATTGTATATTCCAGCAAGCTAGATTATTTCCACATTTAGCATCTGCATATGCAATAAAGATATTTTCGCAAAAATATGTCGAAGCTATATTTAATTTTCAAATGAAGCTAATTGATAAAGAAAATGACAATAACATTGAAAAAGGTATTGAGTTCCATGCATTATCTTCAGCTGCAAAACCATTGTGTTCATGGATTGCACGAGATGCTATTCAAGATTGTAGAGAGTCATGTGGTGGTCATGGATATTTAAAGAGTGCGTAAATATAAAATTATGAAGAAAAGCAATAATGTTAATAGTAATAGTAATAATGATAATATCCTAATTTTTTCTATAGTGTCACGTTTAGGAGATATTCGAGCTGATCATGACGCAAATTGTACTTACGAAGGTGAAAATAATATACTTATTCAACAAACAAGTAACTGGTTGTTGAATCAATGGTCTTGTCTGTTAAATGGGAAAACTATTTCCTCTCCACTTGGAACAATAGATTTTTTAGCAGATAGTAAATATATTCTAAAACAAAAATTTAATTGCACCACAGTCGAAAAAACGATAAGTCTTGAAAGTATGAAAATAATTATATATACATTTTTTATTATATATATATATATATATATATATATATATATATATATATATATATATATATAATATTATTGATTTTGAAATTTTATATATCTATCACGTTACCTACGTCTAATTCCTGTTCTAATGAAATTTACTTCTTTTATTTCAGATTTATTATTTTCATTTCAATGGTTATTATGTTATTATTTAAAAAAAACTTATAAACATGTACAAGATCTTAAAGAAAACGGATATACTGATTTTATGATACGAAACGATTCACAATTATTTTTTGCACGAACATTATCTCTTGTATATGGAGAAGTATGAAATTATTTTATTTATGTTTTATTATACCCAAAATTCGAATCTAATTATTTTGAATATTATTTCCATAGTATGTTTTACTTAAAACTTTCATCGATTGTATAAAAGAACCTATTTGGAGAACAGAAGAATATGAGGTACTTAAAAAGTTGTGTTCTTTGTTTGGATCAACGACTTTGGAGAAGAGATTGGTAGATCTGTATGCTGGTGGTTATGCATCAGTCGATAGTAATATAGACGATAAATTGCGACAAGGTATTATAACATTGTGCAAAGATTTATTGGAAGATGCTGTAGCTTTAATAGATGTATTAGCACCGCCTGATTATATTGTTAATTCTCCACTAGGAATGGCCGATGGGAATGTACGTTTATGATCAATCATTTCATGTAATTTACTTAGTAAAAATGGTTCTAATTTGTTAATTTTAAATGTATTAACAGGTATATAAACATATCCAGGAGAAGATTTTCGAAAATAAGGAAAATTTAGAACGTCCTACATGGTGGAAAGAAATATTACCATCTAGATTATGATATAAAATATCTTTTATATAATTGGTTTCATTTGCTTATATTTTAAATATCCCAAATATATATCTTTACATGTTTTAAGAAGACTCTTTTAATATAAATATATAACTTCTAAATAATTTTACACGAATTATAATTTATATTCTTATTATCCTTAACATATTTTCTATACACAAAATATCCTTTATATATATATATATATATATATATATATATATATATATATATATAAATGAGTATATATAAGAACTTTGAAAATGATAATGCCTATTTCTTAGGGCATTTATCATGTTATTCTTTATATAATGACTTCATGATTAAAAAATGATCTTATATGAGTAAAATAATTTTACCATGGATGTTTATCTTAGATTCAAGAATCTATGCTCTATATCAGTTTTATAATTCAGTATGAATCCTGGGTACAGAAAGTGAACTATCCGCTTCAGAAAACCATTGATTATATACTTTTATAGGATCAATCATCCAGAATTTATGAAAGGATACAGGTTCTTGCGATGCCAGATAAGCAGTAGCATAATCTGCAGGACGAGCCTATATTATATAAATATGTAATTTATTAATAAGGAAATATTTCTCAAATGTTAATATAAATAAATATTCCTAAAGACTATAGATACCTGGTGAAACAAAGAAGAATGAGTAAGTTCTATATTCAGTCTGCGTAGACATATGCCAAAGAGAAACATATCGTCTGGTGTATTTGACGATGGACACTTGCAAACATCTGAATCAATCATTTGATAAACAAGAGGTGCAGATAGAGCAATACCGGCACCACCAGTTAAATAATCATATCCAAATGAACTATCCCATACTCGATAACCATAACGCTCGCCGATAGCAATTTGATTTTTAGGATAGTAACACGTTAATAAACGCATTAATCGTGCCACGCTGTTTTTTATTCAATAGCAAAAATTGTATAATATGAATGATTATATAATATATATGTAGATTACATATGATTGTTACATACCTGAAAATAGTATCGTCATCGCATATAATCAACCAATCAAGATTTTTACTTTTCAATATATTAGCGACTTCTTTTAAAATATCATAAGTTTTGGCACAGTGTCCTTTAGTAGTATTTGTCACAATATATGCCTCAGGTAAGTTTTTATCTACACCAGAAAATGTTGTTTATTCTATACCTATGATTAAAATAATAAACATTATTTTATTGAAATAAAGAACAAATAAAATTTTACCTGCCTGATCACTGAAATATCCAATATTTAAAGCATATTTTGCCCATGTCTTTTTGATAATCGGGATTCTTTCTGCATGATACTTGGCACAAGTTTTTATTGCAAAATATGCATTTTGCAAAGAAATTGTTGTATCCTAAAATCATAATTACATCAAAATATATCTAATTTATTTTTATCAACATAATTTTCTAACTTACACATGGATGAAAGAATCTAGGATAAGTTGCACAATCAGAGGTAGAAACAACACATAGCTGAGGAACATGAGTTAATTTTACAGGCTTTTTGCTTTTTAAAATAAAACCTCCTAATTCGTAAGAAGCATCGATAGAAAAATCATTGCTGAGATTAAATTCAAGTGAAATTTCCTCCGCTATTCTGTAATAATATTAATAAAATTGTGTATTTTTATATAATAATAATTGTACTTTTTGATTATTAAAGAAAGAGATAAAAAAAAAAAAAAATGGTAAAATAAGAAAGACCTATTTAAGAGTTTCGATGTCATTGCGAATCCAGTAGCAATATGGGGATATTTAAATTTTTTTTTATGCTCTGCGAAATGATGAATTATAGTAGGTTCAACGTCATACAATGCGTGACCAATCCATAATTCCTGGAAGATGAACGTTAGGCCATGTAATAATTAATTTCTACAACTAAAAAAATAATATTCACCTGACTAGAATTAAATTGAGAAAATACATTTAACAATTTATTCAATTTTACGACTGTATTTTCTAAGCAAAAGAAATACCACTTTGCGTTTGAATAATTATCTGATAAATATGTAAATAATGGTATGACTATCCAGGACCCTTTAACATTTAATTGATGAGTTAAGACAATTTTTGGTACTTCCTAAAAAAAATATATATATATACCTATTACTTCAAACATCTCATGTATTTTATAAAAATACTTACTACTTCCATAATGCTTGCTTGTTCCTCTATACTCCGTTGTAAAATATCAGCATGTGCAGCATGATAACCTTCTTTTTGACTTAAAATTATAACTACTAATTCTTTCGTATCTGAAAAGATATATTTATTATAATTTATATTACAATTATTATATAGATAAAAATTTACCTAAGGCAGTTATATACATGGATGAAAGAATTATTTCAGAGAGAAGAATCAAATGGATTAACATTATGCCAGGTAAGAAATAAATCTTGTTAAAGGATATTTTTCTTTGTAGATTAATTACTATGATAAGTAATACAATTATTTATATAATTAAACTTTAATTTATACGACACTACGAAGAGATTTTTTCATATAATTATTTTGATGATGATAACTTTGAATTGTTTACTCGTGTCGACTCTACTGCCCTCTGTAGAAAAAAAAAAAAAAACTCGAAGCTCTGAAACCAAATTAACCAATCGTAAGCTTTAAATTGCATACAAAATTTATAAGACCTTTCAAATGTAAACAAAGACTATTCTTAATAATCTGATAAGATTCAACGAGAAATAGACAACAATGATTTTTTTCTTCTTCAGTTTTATTTATGTAACGATATATAATGTCTACTTATAGCGAAAAGAAGGGATAACATACACGTGCTAATAAAATTTTTACGATTAAAAACTTTATTTTGGTTTGCTTTGTAATTGGGAAAAATATATATAATGTTGTGTACCTGTAGGAACTTTGGGCTATACATTGTCTGGGACCATCATTGTCGGGTAACATGCTAGTGAGAGAAAAAAAAAAAAAGAAGAAGAAGAAAACAAAAAGAAAAAAAGAAACAGAAGGAAAAAAAGAAAAGAAAAGAAAGAAAACAACTTAAAACATTTCAATACGTTTTCGACGTAGTTACAAAACAACGGCTTAAATCTATACTAAAGCTAAAGATCTATTAAATCTAAATTTTATATGGTAACAAATCTGGTATAAAATACAATGTCTGTGATACGCGCATACGTATATTTTAGAACGAATAAAAGATATGATCGAGAAAAAAAATTTGTTTCTATGCATTCAAGTTTAAAATGCAATTGTCTTCTTACAATGTAAATCTGTAGGACTTAAAAAAAAAAAAAATACGAGAGAAAAAAGAAAAAAAAAAAAAAAAGAGAAAGAAAAGTGTAAAGAAAGCAATAAGATTATAAAAACATATCCGATTATAATCCATACATTGAACTGTACCAACATGTAAAGCCGCCCACGTTAAACGAATTTGACACATGGCACACGATTAATTGATTTTTAAAGTTCGAGCTTGAACGATCTCTTGGTAACTTGTATAAAATTATATACAGTATCATAAGCTACATTTTTGTGCTCTCTCTTAAATCCGTTTATAAACAAATATATTTTTCTGTTTCTCATTAGGATTTCTTGAAACTGTTGAAAACTTTGGACTAGCGTTAACAGTAAATTGGTATAAATTAAAAAAAAAAAAAACCTACAAGTTCGAATGGACCGAAGAATTAATCGTCCGTACCAATGAAATATATTTTAACGGTTATTAAGGAGAATCGATTTCATAAAAAGTACTTTAAGCGGATACGTAACATTACAGATAGATCGTTCCGTTGAATGCGAGTAAGTTTTTTTAGTGATACATTGTTAAATGCTTGAGGTTTCGATCGAGCAGTAGTGTTTTATATTTACTTAAAAAATCGCGACTTTCGTAATCCCAATATCAAATAAAGGCAATGCAACGGTTACAGTAAAGCAATGACCTTTACATTTCGATCTTTTTTTTTTTTTTTTTTTTTTTTTACTTCTAAACACGTTTAAGACTTTTCTCTATGCTACATTCATAACTTGTAGCGTGACACAGGAAATTTTGGCAATCATTCCGTCTTGAAATTAAAGTTATAGTTCAATTTTTACAGATTAAACATACTTAAACACTCTTAAAAATATACAATGTTCTTATAACACTTTTTTCATATCTTGCTCGTTAAGAATCAAGCTCGTGACATTCGTTTCTTGACTAGATTCATTCTTAGTTGTGCAGGTCGTTTCACCTGTCTATTCAAGAAGTATTTAAATACTCGAATGAAATATTTAATACTTCAATTTTAGCCAGAACACACTTCGGAGTGTTCGTCCCATGCCGCGACCTGTAAAAAGTATTGCGAATGAATTAGTTTCGGCTTGATTAAAAAAAAATGTACTCCTCGCATTATTCGCAGAATTTGTTTAGAGAGAAAAAAAAAATTATATATATATCTCCACATACTTGACATTCGCGACTGCAATACCACTGATTACCACAGCCAGCGCACACGAACTGTGCAGCACGTTCATGGCAACCTTGACAACGTGGTGGACTATCTCTATCGTCTCTGGTATCCCTTCCACCCGAGGAAATTCGAGTTTCTCTATCCTCTATAACTGCAGCTTCTTCTTCCACATCCTCCTGTTAAAATGATTTCATTACTACTTAGATCAGTATTAAAATATTGATAGAAAGAAATTACATAGAGAAATTCGTTTCTTTACCACGTGAATTAAATTATTAGAATGAGATTGCACCGCCGTATTGACAACTGGCGTAATGGTTATTTCTGTTCTTGCCTGTAATTTGTATTCCTCGATTATTTATTCATCCTTGCTTGCTTGCTTGCTTTCTATAATTTATTACGATATAGTATGTTCAGTGATATTACCAACCTTGGAAGAAGATAGGAGATCGCTGATAGAAACCGGATTAGAGCCTTGATACGCTTGTAAAAGGTGTTGGGTTGCAGTACTTTGCTGTGGTATAGATGTGACGGTAGGAGTGCTCCTTTCCCTTTCAGGAGCTGTGAGTAACCTGGCTAAAGTGGGTGAAAAGGTGGTTGGTCTAGGAGATTGCGATTTAGTGAGAATTCCATGAAGTAATGAACCAGTCGATTGAGTTTGCGTAGTTTGTGGGGTCGCTGATGGCGCTACAGGATGCAAAGTTACATCTGGATAATTCTGGGGCGTTTTCACTGGTTCCCCTAAAGAATGTTATTCATTCACAAATTTAGGAAATATTTTTTTTGCATGGTTTATGTATTTTCGATAACAATGACATATATATATATATATATATATATATATATATATATGCTTTATTCGTTTTTTACTTACCTTGTTGTTGGCTTAACTTTGCAAATTGAACGAGCACGTCTTTGAAGCTCATGGAATTGTTAGGGTCAGCGGCATTCGGATTGCTTTTACAAGAATCCGTACTGGATGGTCGCGAGTCTACGTTGTGCCCTGTTTCGACCATAGCTCCACCCGCGCCCAAACCGACGTTTACTGAATTCCTCATTCTCCGGCCCCTGATAGAAGTGCCACGTATAGATACAACACGATACACATATATCATAGATAAGATCTTACATCAGACGCTACTATTAATCAACGATGAGAACATCTGTTTTCAATGAATTTATGTAAATATGAAATTACCGTCGTGGTACCATTTCTGGATGTCTAAGCCTGTAGTCAGCGATGATAGATCTAACATCAACGATCGTACCTTGACGACCTTCTCCAATTTGTCTATTTTCAGGACTCATTGCCTCTGTTTGTTTTCGACCGTTCTCACCAGTTTGCTTAGGTGGTGTCACTTGTCTATGTGATGATGCCTTTGAACTCTTTTCTTTTTTATAAGTTGGTAAATCTTGAGAAGTTTCTTCGGGAACGTCTTCTTTCGAATCGAAGGAACATTTTTCTTTAGGCACGGGCGTCGTGCTGTCACTGCTTTCCCATTCAGGTCCCAGAGACAAACTCGCTGGTGGTAAGGTTTCTCCCATCTGTCTATTTCCTTCCATAAATCCTAAAACCTGTCTCCTCCTTTCAACTCTCAGGTACGCCTCTTCTTTGAGCTTTCTCATACTCAAGATTTCATTCCATTCCATTTCTTTGGCACGGGCTAGCTCGTCAAGGGCCTAAAAAAGGGAAATCGTACAATATCGACGATAATTATATCCCCGACAAAATGACTTTCTCGTTAATTTCATAAAACGAATATATTATAATAAATAAATAAATACCTGAACTTCGGCGCGTAGTTGATCAGCTCTTACGGCGAGTTCATCGGCGTTAAGTTTTTCACAGCCAACGACAAACGATATATATTGTTCTCGTTGCTCAAGGCAGAACTTTTTCGGTGCGGAATTCCCATTAGAGGATAACTGTCCGTCCGTTGATTTACGTTTTCTGCCACTTTCAGCTACCTCGGGTTTTAGAGAACGCATAGGCGCGCGTTCCTTTTGTTGCGAACCATCGGACGAGGATAAAGATTTTCCCGCCGTTTCTAAATCCGTGTCGCATAAAGGTTCCTTCTTTATCGACGACGATCGAAGACGATCCGCGGTCGTCGTTGATGCTGCTGCGGTTTCTTCCGGAAGTGCTGCACCATTTTGTTGATTTTGAGGGACTTTTGGTGACGTTCTAGACGAATCCTCCTCTCTCGTCTTCTCCGCAGCATCCACCTTCTTCCCGTTTCCACCGGAACCTTCCATCGCGTGCATCTTGTTCAAACTGTAACAACAATTGGATGAAGCGCTTTAAAAAGATTTTATGAAAGATCATATTTCTCAGGAAATTCCTGTTTTTTTCTTTTTTTCTTTTTTTTTTTAGATAGGCCATTTCAACACATTTAACAATTTTTCAAACTGACATGTATTTAATGAACACGTCGATCGTAGAATACAATTGCGAAAATATTACGACGTTTATTTAGACTCGCACAAGTTCACAATCTTATCGGTAATTATGTCCAAAATTTATAATACTCTTTCTTTAGAAAAGAATCGTAAAATTGTAAGAGTACTCTCGTTATATTAAAATTTTCTCCTTTCATTTCAAGGTTAATTTAATGTTAATTCATTCTTATACTCGTGTATATTACACACGAAAGAGATTTTTAAATATATTTCTCTTTGATGGTTTCTTTTAAGATATAAATATGTAATTCATTGTTTTTAATATATATCCGAGACAATGTAATCACAATTGAATAGGGGAAACAGATGAACGAGACCGATTTGTTGAAGAGGAAGAGACGACAAAATCGTTTTACATTCGAACGAAAAAAAAAAAAGAAAAAAAAAAGAAAAAAAAAAAAAAAAAAGAAAAAAAAAAAAAAAGAAAAAGAAAAAGTAGTCATTTAACTTAGTTGAAGGAGCAACGACTTTGCACATCATTACTCGAGCGTGCAAGAGTAAAGCGCCGCATTTGATAGCGGACGAAAAGGCAACGTGTGGCGAGAGGGCTGAGTGGGTGAGGTAGGAGAGGGCCAAGGAGGAGTGGGAGTTGGGTGGTAGGAGAAGAAGGGGTATCGTTGAGCGACCGAGTGAGAAAGAAATAGTAGGAGGGAGAGAGACGAGTTCGTTGCACTCACTTGCGTTCACTGCACTTTATAGACGCGGATATAGGTTTCGCGGTACCAATTCTGAAAAGGCGTGCGATTCTCCTTCTGCATTGCTTGTCCCGAAGCTAATTCGATCCTTCCCAGTCTTATAATCTTTTTTCCCTCCTTTTCATTCTTTCAAATGATCGTTTAAACGAAATCTTATAAATATTTATTAATATTTCTATTTCATATCGTGTATATACATATATATATATAATTTTTTTTTTCTTTAATTTTAATTATCGATTTTAAGATCAGCGATTTTAAGATTTATTTATGCAAACGTAATTCAAAGATTATATGTTAGATATTCGAAAATTTTTTTTCTACTATGTATAATATAACGTTGTATAATCATATTTTGTAATGTGCATCATTTTTTAATCAATAATAATGGCGATATTTAAAGAGACACGCGCTGACCTAGTGTCGTCATCATCGTTATTATTCTTTTTTTCAAAGGCAGGTAACAGGTGGTTAGCGTGTAACAGTCGAATCACTTTCACGCTCGTTGTTAATCCATATGCATGGAACACAATTGTAAAACTATTTTGATTTAACCGATGCTTATAAAAATTTCATAATATTTATATAAATAAAGTACCAGTTATAATAATTAAAAGATAATTAGGCATATCCTACTTGGACTTTATAATTTCAACGATGTAATAAGTTTTTTATTTAACAAATAATTAACGTCACTCCAATCGGACATTTATGGCCTTTTTTTTTTTATCATAATAACTAGACCCATTCATTTTACCTTTTCGTGTACGTTAAAAGGTAAGCCGTCAAGGGGAACAGCAGATCAAGATGTTAATATTTCTCTCGTGCGCACATTTAATTTCCGCAAAGAAAACGATCGAGCAATGTTATAAATTATTTGCACTTTCGCGATTAAATCGGAACGACGCAACAGCAGCTACGGTGGCGATATAACAGTGCTTGCGAGGTAACGATAGCGAAAGTGCTGGAGAAAGCGAAAGCAATGCGCCGGATTGATGCCAAACTATTTCGATCTATGCGCATAGACATTAATTACTTTGTTATTTGATTATTACTATTATTATTATTATTTTTGTTTTTTTTTGTAACAAGGAATTTATTCGAATGATTTAGAAGAAATCGAATCGAATTATATTTGACGAATATTATACTTCTTTTATTAGTGCAAATTCAATAACGACTGGCATTCCAATGTAAAAAAAAAAGAAAAAAAGAAAAAAAAAAAAAAATAAAAATAAAGAGAAAAAACTATGAAGAATATCTGGAGCAGTGGACGATAGTTTCATCAGTGGTCGTACCTTCACAAGTCGTTGCTTTTCCCACGCATTAGATGGAAGGAGATGGTTGAGAGGATTAAGATCGATCGAGTGAGTAGCCGAGGCCACGCAAGCGAAGACACGATACTGCAAAAGGATTAAGAACACGCGAAATGCTTTTTCTATTTCCCCGTGAAATGATTGTATTTAAGAATAAGGATGACACTCCGCGATATATAGCTCTTCCCGTCTTTCTCAATAAACATTCAAGGCGGGAAATTTAAAAACTTCACGACGAAATACGATGTTAGATGTATGAAGAAACTTTATGAAGTCAATGCTTCCAGTTGTTCCAATTTGTTACCACCACCACCACCACTATTACCATCGTCATCATCATCACTTTAAAATAGAAAAGACAAGCGATAGATAGTTAAACACAGTTAAACTATTTCTCACCGTACACTATGATCAAACACTAGTATCGAACTAAGATCGATAATCTCGATGTAGATCAAAACGATTACGTACTTTCAAGGCTTCTACCACATCCTCGTCTCTTTCACTTTCGCAACCCTTTTTTTCTTTTCGATTCTTTTTGTCGGAAGAGACTCTCAAGTTTTTCTTCTTTCAAGAAGTAGTTCACGGAACGTTGAAGAAAACGTTAAAGAATAGCCTGTGATTATCCAAGAAAAAGAGAGAGAGAGAGAGAGAGAGAGAAAGAGTGGGGGAGAGAAGAGAGAGCATCGAACGCGAACGCGAACGCGCGTAAGAGGGTGAAGAATCGAAGCGGCATCAGCAGAGCGCGGCGGCACGCGCGCTTACAGTGGCGGCGGCGGTGGCGGCGGTGGCGGCGGCGGCGTCACCACACTCCTCTTCTACTTGCACTTTTCACCGTTCGGCTCTCTCCTCTTCATCGCCGGTCACGATCTTTTTTCTCTGTCAGTCAGTCACCCCCTCCCACTCCCTCGTTCTTCGCTCCTTTCTCGGTCGAACTCAAACGGAGGCTGTCGATTGTAGCCGATCGTGAACAGCCGGTTGCGAAGAGCGACGCGCGCTCTCCTCCGAGAATTAGCAGAGGTACACTGGTAGCGGGGCAGGTAGTGCACGAGAGAGGAAAGGTCATGAAAGGTCGCGGACACGCGAGCTTCCCTCCAGACAGCGCCACCGTCGTGAAAACGCGCCAAGGTGCGCCGACGCCTTATCTTATTCTTCCTCCTCTTTATTTTCGTTTTTAAAGATATACAGATTTCGTATAAAAAGATATTCAAAATAAGAATGTAACACTAATTCTCGCACACGTCCCACCAACGTCGCCGTTGTCCTTTTACGTTTAAGATGTTGCTATCCGTGTCGTTTTAGAACGACTAATATTAGGAATTTACCGGTATCGAGGAAGAACTGAATGCAACTCAAGCGACTTACAACAACGAGCCACGATTTGCGCGCGTGTACGACTAAAGACGACGACGAAGACGACGACGACGACGACGACAACGACGACGACGACGACGACGTTCATACGTTTTGCGAGGGAGATACGGAGCGAGGGTAATGACGCACACAAGCGCACCCGCGTCTTCGTTATGT